GGACATGATGACCTATACGTATATATCATGACATAATTTCTTATCGATGCAACAACAATGTACCACAGCGAAGCGTGGCAGGGTACTGTTGGTTTGTCACCCAGATAAAAATTATGTTAAAAGCAGTCAGCTACAGTACAATAATTTGACCTGTCATGGCAGTCTGCTCAATAACAATTAAAGTTATTGATACTAGTGAATGAAATAAAACCAAACATAGATTGACAGTCGGTCGAAACTTGAAAATCTCAAGTAATAATAATAGGACCCCGGAAAGAACAAAGCTTCCAACATTAAGGTTATTTGTAATTTAGATTAACTTTAAAGCAATAAAAACTTTTAAAATTGTAGATAAATAAATTAGTAATTAACATAATTTATCAGTAAATTTTAAAATTTATGTAAAATAAAGGTTCTTCAGAGCTTTTTTTGTTGCATGTTGTTTCATAAAATTACATTGTAAAGTGAAGACAACATAAAATAATTTGAAAGACAAGTGAAAATTTCTCATTTCACATAAATTGTATTACTTCAGAACAAGATACCATGGCCTAGTTTCATACCAGGGGAAGTTCATAGGGGTCATAACACCCCTGGGCTGGTTTGTACGATTTTAAGTAAGTACGTAATAAAAAAATTGTATATTGTATCGACTACAAAAAAATGACCCTCAATTAAAAGCTGGATCCCTATCTGTTTTCATATTAATGTAATTAGATTTAAATTAATTTGCAAAGATTTTTGTCATCATCATCATCATCATCATCATCAGCCTATCGCAGTCCACTGCTGGACATAGGCCTCTCCCATTGCACGCCACTTAGATCGATTTTGGGCTTCTCGCATCCAGCTCCTGCCAGCCATCTTGCGCAAATCGTCACTCCACCTGGCCTGTGGGCGTCCTACACTACGTTTGCCGAGACGCGGTCTCCACTCAAGAACTCGTTTTCCCCAACGGTTATCGGTTCTGCGGCTAATATGGCCAGCCCACTGCCACTTCAGCTTGCTGATCCGGTACGCTATGTCGGTGACCTTAGTTCTCTGCCGGATCACCTCATTTCTGATGCGATCCCTTAGAGAAACGCCGAGCATAGCCCTTTCCATAGCACGTTGAGCGACTTTGAACTTGTGGACCAGCCGTACCGTAAGTGTCCACGTTTCAGCTCCGTATGTCATGACGGGTAGGACGCACTCATTAAAGACTTTCGTCTTAAGGCACTGTGGGATCGACGATGAGAAGACTCGACGTAGCTTCCCAAACGCTGCCCAACCCAACCGAATTCTTCTGTTCACCTCGTCCTCGAAGTTGTTTCTACCTAACTGCAATGTCTGCCCGAGGTACACATAATTTTGAACAACTTCGAGAACGGCACCGTGTACCGCAATCGGTTCCGGTAGTACATGTTCGTTGAACATGACCTTGGTTTTATCCAAGTTCATCCGTAGGCCGATGCGTACAGAAGTGTCAGCTAAGTCATTCAGCATTTGCTGTAGGTCCTGCAACGTCTCTGCCATGATGACGATGTCATCTGCAAATCGCAAGTGAGAGATGTATTCGCCATTGATATTGATGCCACGCCCTTTCCAGTGCAGCGTCTTGAACATGTCCTCCATTGCATTTGTGAACAGTTTCGGGGAAATAACGTCCCCTTGTCTCACTCCTCGATGCAATGGTACGGGCCTTGTTTGCTGATTCTGTACTTGGACGGACATGGTGGCGGCTTCGTAGAGACATCTCATCACTTGGATGTATCGCCAATCTACTTGGCAACGCTGCAGGGACTCCAGAACAGACCAGATCTCGATCGAGTCAAAGGCTTTCTCATAGTCCACGAATGCTAGACACAGGGGCTGATTATATTCTTCGGTCTTCTGTATAATCTGCCGCACTGTGTGGATGTGGTCTATGGTGCCATATCCGCTCCGAAACCCAGCTTGCTCCGGTGGTTGGAATTCGTCGAGTCTTTGCGCAAGACGGTTCGTGATGACTCTCGAAAACAGCTTGTAGACGTGGCTTAGAAGGGATATAGGTCGATAGTTCTTCAACCTGGTCTTGTCACCCTTTTTGAAGAACAAGACGACCACACTCCTACTCCACGCTTCTGGAGCTCTCCCTTCAAACAGGACAGCGTTGAAGAGCTTTTGGAGCTCCCTTAGTACGGGTTTACCCCCGGCCTTCAGCAGCTCTGTTGTAACGCCATCCTCTCCAGGGGCTTTTCCATTTTTCAGCTGTCCAAGAGCCATCTCGATTTCGTCAATGCTAACTTCTGGCAGGTCTTCGGTGTAGTGACGTGTTAATGTGGCTCTAGAGTCCTCATTTTCGGGATCAGGTCGAGATGCATGCGAAGCGTATAACCGGCCATAGAAGCTTTCCACTTCCAAAAGGACTGCCGGCTTCGAAGCAACGACTTCTCCACTTTCTGTAGTCAACTTTGTCAGGTGGCTTCTTCCAAGAGATTGTACGAACACTTTTGACCCCCGATTTTGCTCTTGAGATTTTTGTAACCTGTCTATACGATGCTTAGGTCTATGGCCGCCATTGTTTACATGGAACAAATGTTTTGCCGCTAATATCTGTGAGTATATATACCTCACTGGATTTACTAGTCCCCGTGTAGCATTAGTAATGACTGCATGTAACTCGGACTGGTATTAAAAATTCTGTGACTGAAATCACTGCACGAATAAGTAGTTTCTTTGAAAGTAGCAGGTGTCTTTAAGAAACAAAAATTTCAGCAGTGCCTTTACAAAAATAGTACCGACATAAAAATCTTTAGTGTTTTAGTTATCATTCACTTTAAATATTAAAAATTTTAAGAGCATTGCAGTTTTTAACGTAATATACCTATAAAAATATGTCGAAGCCATTACTTTTTGATAAATCGATTAAAAAACTCGAAGTCTTATTCAAGTATTCAGGCATGAATATCAAAAATAAAATTGTCACACCAATGGATATGATAAAATATCGCTGGTTGTATGTCTTTAATTTCATCTGGGTTCTATTAGCTTCACTGGCTTCTGTATACTACATTATCATCGGGATAGCCAGTGGAAAGAACATCACAGAACTAACGAGTATAGCCCCCTGCTTAACATTTACAATTCTAGCAATGATTAAATCTCATTACCACTATTTAAATGAAGAATATGTAAAAGAACTACTATTTATTTTAAGAAATTTAGAAATAAAAGAGAACGCAAAAGAAGAACGTGCAGATAAAAAAGATATTATTGAAAAAGAAACTGGGTTTTTGAGTACAGTGATTAATGTTTTGTATGTGTTAAATTGTTCGATGATTGTTGTATTTGATATGACTCCTTTGATTATGATCGCGGTAAAGTATTTTAAAACGAATGAGTTTGAGTTACTTTTACCCTATTTGGATGTGTTTACGATTATCCCGTATGAACTAAAGTATTGGCCGTTTGCGTATATACACCAGGTTTGGTCAGGTATGATTATGTTGATTGTTAAATTTACTAAATATGCTTACAACCTTTTTGTTTCGCACGAGTTTTGTTATTGTGTGTTAATCTTAGAAAATAGACTTGGTGTTGGTATATTGGAATAGATCTATTTACGATAATAATTAATATTGTAATAAATTGTCACAATGTGACTCTTTTTTATCTAGTTAACTATTGATTTTTATATTATACGGAAACATTTTTGACATCTGAATTAAGTGATATGTGCTTTGCTGAATTCCAATCAACGTGTATGCAAAATTTTAATTGATCGGATCAACGGTACAGTAGCGCATAAAATACGAAAAAACCAACATTTTTTATAATATAATAATTTTTACGGAAAAAGCACCCATATTTCCAAGTGGAAGGAAAGAATTGAAATATGGGTGTTTTTTTTTTTTTAGTTTTTAATTGAATTGCCCAACCAAAATGTAGTAAACCTTATCATTAATTTCCCCAGGACCTTACGGTAGACTGGTAGAGAATACCCATGGTATTAGGTCTGCAACCGTACATTTTGTACATAAAATTTAAAAAAACATTTACGGATTCAAATATTTACACTTAACGGGAATCGACACTGCGACCTCTACCTTAAGAAGTGGAATGCTGCTGCGCTATTTGAATTATTATTAATTATTATTCTCTGAATTCGTCTTGAGGATCAGTTCATTTTGAGATGATCTGGAGCCTAATCTTGAAGTTGAAAGGTGGCCACGAGATGACACGTTTTAGTTCAGTGTCTTAGATAAAAGCTTGTTAGTAGATAAACATTTTAAGAGTTTTTAAGTTTACTACTACAAAATGTAAAACGAATTTCGCAAAGAGGTTTCCTAAATATGTTTCCGTACTTACAAAATGTTTAAAGCTAAAACTAAAATTAAAGATTTTATCACCGCCTTAAATTATAAACATACAGAAAAACTCTTAAAAACTATAATCAGACAGGCTAATGAATTACACACTCATACACACACCCACACACACTAACTCACGCAAGCACGCACACACATACGCATACAATTAAGAACAGTACAGATTTATAAAATTATTTTATAAATATTAGTTAAGTCCTAGGCATAAGACAATCGTATTATTCGATAGCCAGGACACAGACAGGCTTTGCCTAGTGTGGTTGTCACAGTAAATGTAACATGTTATGTAATATATTTGAAAATCAATTATTATTATTAAAAGCACCAACATTGCCCGGAGAATTACCAAACTTAAGTGGTAGTGGGCCGGGCACATTGATCGCAGAAACGATGGCCGATGGGGCCAAAAAGTTCTCGAGTGTCGATCACGTACCGAAAGACAGAGCGTGAATAGGCCGACCACAAGGTGGTCCGACGACCTGGTGAAGGTCGTAGGAAGCCGTTGTTTGCAGGCAGAGCAGGACCGGTTGTTGCGGCGAACCTTGGAGGACGCCTATGTCCAGCAGTGGCCGTCTTTCGGCTAAAATGAGGATGATGGTGAATTAATTAAATGGGTCTTTTGTTGTTTCAGAATGTATAGCACTATTAAACATGGGTGGTGCGGATTATTTGTTCTACACTTGCTGCACTTATATCACAGTGCAGTTCAAATTACTGCAATACGATTTCGAGAGGATCATACCTTCTACTTCTTCATTAAATCAGTTTCAAGAAGACGAGGTTCGAAAGAATTTCGTGGACCTGGTGAAGTGGCACCAAGATTTAATACAGTATGTTTTAGTTATTTTTGTAACTTTTGATCATTCGCATTATCATCATCAGCCTATCGCAGTCCACTGCTGGCCATAGGCCTCTCCCATTGCACACCACTTAAATCGAATTTGGGCTTTATTTTATATAATTAATAATACATTATTATTAGCACCCCTTTTTAAGTATCTATGCCGTACTAAAGCACCATGATATTTGATATACCTAAAGTTTACATTTAGAAAATGAGCAAACAGTTGAAATTTTTACTTTACCTACAGTATTATGAGAAACAACGGTATATTCATGGTGCGGGAAAATAGTTCAGTAGTCGGTTCTTTTCTTTACCTCCGTTGACGTGTAAATAAAATTCAATGATAATCAGTCGAGTAAGTAAGGCGTGAAACCGCACAAAACTCACATTCTTAGTTATAATTTTATTTAAACCATCTCTATCAGCCAAGTTCAGAATTTGCACTTATTTAATTATTAATTATTATTGTAACGCTTTAATAATTGTCTGATTGCAGCACATCGAATATTCTAAAAATAATTTACTCGAAGTCGACTCTATTCAACTTTTTGTCCAGCTCCGTGGTGATTTGCCTCACTTGTTTCAATGTTACGGTAATTTCTGTTTTTCTTGCATGTCTTTAAGTTAGGTGTTAGCAACACATTCGAGTGAAATACATAGCTTAATAAGATTTAATTAGAGTATTTATTAATGTTTTTCACAGTAAATACATTGAAGCCTGTAATTGTGGATGTATATAAATATATGTTGCCACAGACAATAACAAATTAAAAAATTAGCTAAATGAATTAATAAGAGAAATTTTAATATCATGAAAAGTAAAATAAACCCAAACAAAGATTGCGTAACAAACAGACAGACAGGTATACGACTTGACAGTTATAATAACATAATATACTACTTATATATTTTTTTACAGTTAAAAAGTAGTGAATTAGTGACTTATGTGTTGTGAAACTTAATAAAGCTCATGAAACTTATAGTGGATTATTAATTTAAAAATTAACGATTGTTTTTATTTAAAGATTCTATTAATTTAAAAAAAAGTTATATTACAAACTCATTTTTTTTTGTAAATGGCAAACTGTGCCGATGTCGACAATTCTGCCAAAGTAGAATGTGTAATGAAGGTGCGTGTGTTTGTAGAGCCGTAGTGGGACAAAACATGACCTCTGAAGGATATAACTACCCAATATTTAACATGTAAGCAATGCTGTGACTTACATCTTACATCTCGAATGTTAATATGGCCAAAGATAATTGTCATGTGTGACATGAAGGAATTTGATCGCTTCTATAGGATGAAAACGGCTTTAGGGTTGAATGAGATGTGTGCCAGGACTTTATTTTCTAGGTGTGCTGTTTTAGTCGGTTTTCCGAACTGAAAAACAGAAAATAATTAAATAAGATGTTTTAAAGCAAAAAGAGGATGTGACTACTACATTGAGAGTTAATTGAGTTCTTGACGGCATTCTGGAACGTGCTAAAGTCTCCAGACATTACTATCTAATCATCGTGACTTATTTTTTAACAGATGGTGAATGATATAGTAACAATCATTACGTTCCTAACCTTCCTCTCCATGGGACTGATGCAGGTTTTCTTCTTGTGCTTCTTTGCTGATATGATGACGAGCGCCGTAAGTTTTTGAAGTGATAATCTTATGGGAGGGTAAACCGCTTCGTTACGTAACGCGTCACGGCGCCAGTCTGACTGGCTTCCTTTTCTCTCACGAATATGGCAGCGGTAGGCAGGCTCCTCCTCTCTTACTCTAACCCACAATGGTGGCCAACACCATAATGTTATAATTACCATGCAGATGAGGCAGGTTTGTTAATTTATTAAGTAAGAAGAATGAATAGAGGTGCTAAGTTAAGTGGTATACCTATACTATACCTATATCCTTTACTATATAATAGCAAAGTAGCTCAAAGGAGTCATGCATGTGTCCATCCCGTCATTGAAGACGAAATACCTGATCAGTATTACAAAGTACCTGTGATCATAATAAACGATTACTAGAGAAATTAAAGCTAATAACGCAAAATGTTTTGGCAATTAATGATAATTTGGAAATGTATGAGTTATAAAACCATTCTGCGATATTAGTTTAATTTCTCTAGAAATACTTCGTACTACTGACCAAGTATTTTGTTTGCTGTGTATATAAATTAGTATTTAGGAAACTCTAACTAACAGATCTCTGCTTTACAAAAACCGTGGATACTTATTGTGTTGAAATATACTTACCATAAAAAATCTTTTGTCTACAGAGTGTCGAAGTTAGCACCGCTGTATACAATACTCGGTGGTATTTAGCCCGAACCACGGTTGAACGACAATTCCTTTTGATACAAACTAGGTAAGATTTAAAAAATATTAAAAAAACATTCCTAAGTACTAACACATTTAAATATACTGTTCCATAAAGTAAACAAGCTGCTCCAAGTTGCCATGTCTTTTTTATAACGTTAACTGGTTTTACACGTTTATTTGATTGGAATGCTCAGCATTTCCATCTGCTTTAGTTATTGACAAATGTAAAAGAAAAACTAAACCACTTGTCTTTGAGTAAAATATAATCTGTGGGAACAGGTTTTGACAATGCGTGTTGATATGACAGATTGAAATCTATAATTTACCTGTAGGGCAATAGTTATGACATACTATGCCATACGGTGACGTATGACATGACGTTATGACACCTATCTTTTGAGGGTTAAATGGGCCCTCTGATTAACGAATCTCAAATTCAACGTGCTTCCTCAGCAATAAATGTGGCACCTCCCTTCTACAATAATTTACTGTTTTTGGCTTGATTTCTTTGTGATCCTATGTTATCTTATTTTTATCCTTTAGGTCTCTTACTGTTGCTTGTCCGGTGGTCAAAACAGAATATTTTGATCTTGTACAAGAACTTTAGAGTCATCAATCTACACGTTTTTCACTTTCTTCTTTGCTCTTAATTCTGTTCAGAGCCCAAGTGCCATGCAAATTAACGGCTGCAGGATTCGCTGATGTGAACTTGAGGGCATTTATGAGAGTAAGAACTTGTTACTTATTTTATATTTTGCAAATGTTCTATTTAATTTCATAATAGTTTGAACAACGTCCAAAAGATACTATCGCTTCCGAGAGCAGCAGCGAGGAGCGTCCCCTTTTCCGTGCGGAAATCCCTTCGGATACCACCTATCGGTGGCATGTCGGACTCGAACCGACTAAAACCGCACGCCGTCTCGGGTACTAATAGCCGGGAACCAGGTATACCCTAGAAAGGAAGTCCCTGGTGCCCCGACATACCTCGGGCCATCTACAGACGAGTAGACGAACCCCCCTCCCCCCTCCCGAACGAGGAGCTTCCCCTGGACAATCACAATACACTCTGAGAGACATGCAATACAAGCGATTCTAAACACGTATGCTTTTACAACTAATAGTTCGAAAACTTTAGAAATTGTTGGTCATAATGAATAATCTACAGATATAAAATTTCTAACCCTGACTGAATGATCCATCAACGCAGAGCCTACACCGCTGGGAATACAAACTTGAAATTTTGGCAGCTGATACGTCTTATGTTGTAAGCTGACACTTAGAAATCATTTTCGGAAAATTCGGGGGTAAAATAAGGGATGGACGGTTGTATGGAAGCTTGTCATTTTCAAAGTTAGAAACATGAAATTAGAAGTAATCACTAAGCGAAGCCGCGGACATTAGCTAATTATTCATAAATATAATAAGAATCATGTTTTTAACTATCGTACATTTATTTATAAAGCATCTTATATTTACGATAAACTAAATCTCTGTGTCCGCAGGTATTAAGCACAGCATGGTCGTACTTCGCGCTACTGCAAACCGTGTACGAAGGATAGTGACCATAATTTACTTGGCTTTCTCCTTTTATGGAGTACTGCGGATAGCCATTAGAGAAGTTATAATTCTGTAAGTTTGAGTTCGTATTCAACTGTAGAGTCGGTTTATTATTATTATTACACACTATTAGAATTTTAGAATTCAGTTAAATATCACAAATACGTGCAATTAGAACCTCGACTATACGTTAATCTGTTTTTAGACTTCTTAATATTTTAAAGTTAATTTAAGACATATTGTTGCTTTTTAATTCTTTTACCTTTACTTCCCAAGGTTGACTAGACTGCACGAATGGTTAAGGTTAGGTTAAGCGAAGGTTTAAGCGGTCACCTCGCCGCTTCCTACTGCGGTGAGTGTTGTGGGTCCGATCTCCACACGGGACTACACTTTGTGTGATCTAATAAATTATTGTTCTGAGTCCGTTTCTATGTAGGTATATTTGTAAAGTCCCCCGCGATACACTATATATTCCTAGTACGGGTAGGTAGTATCTTTTTTTTAATGTAGGTACTTCGTTGTTGTTAATAGGCTTGCTGCCCTTATGACGTGGATGAGACCAAATTATAGTCAGCAAAATATGGGTTTCATTCACGTCATAATTGCAAACGAGCAGACGAGGCACAAGATGGTAAGTAATAGCCGCCGCCCATAAACACTCACAAGTTGTCACCATTTAACACCCCCCCCCCCCCCCCCCTCAGCCAATGCTAGGGGGAACACTGGAGCGTCAGGGCTCATTCAATCAAGAACTAACTGTTTAATAGCGGTTTTCTGTGAGGCTCATTAGTGCTGAAAAATGCATGTAGTGTCGGTACCGTGAGTGGGACCAAATTACAATTGATAAAATGTGGGTATTCATTACAGCACTACTTATTAATTTAGTTATTTAAACTTAATGCACATGTTGTACAAATGCGGACTTAATGCCTTTGGGGCATTATCTCCCAGTCAACCTTCAGGTGACGTAGACATATAATGCGGTAGGTGCAAAATAAAATATTAATTAGATAATAGAATTCCAGAAGTATACACAATATTTAAACACACATATTATTTATAAGCTGTTGATGGTGGTTTTCTGTGGTTTTCTGCCTACCCTTTATAAAAGGCATTTTTCAGCTAACATAACTGTTTTAAACTCTTGTAATAAATGATTATCCAGCACGTTTAAGTTACTTTAAAACTTTATGTTTAAACTATTCAATTTAATCGAAACCATTTTTGTATGTAACCATGTTTCGATGGACAAGGTGCAATTCAACATTTACTTCAATGTCAATATTTCCCCATTCACGTGAGTACGCCATTGTTGTTTGAGTTCTTTTTTAAATTCTGACAAGTATTGTTCCCGTGTCTATGGTACACAGTTACACGTACGTGCGTGTATTCTGTCCGTATAAATTGATTCCTTTACCTGATACATGTTATATTTTGTAGAACTCGTATATTATAAACGATGAAGACAAAAATCTTACCATTATTATTATTGCAACAGTTTGAATGACTTTTTCATTCAATCACGCTAGAAGAGCTACAAACTACTATAATGAGAGTAGGAGAGATATATATATATATATGTACATATAATAGTATCATATATTCCATAGTACATGGAATTGCACACATAGGTTTTATCCGGCCAAAATCGAAAGAAAAAACACACACGTATTAATTTTTAATAATTGTATGATTGTTTATTGAATAGATTATAAGGTCAGTTTGCCTAATATCCAAATCTTTTATGATAATACCGTTAATGCGATATTTAATATTTAAATTAGTTTCTTAATTTTCTATCAGTTATATTTTAGTCTACATGTAGGAATAAAAAGCGACATTTCGGTCTATTTCCTAAGTTACAGATAGAAAGTTTACCATAGCAGGTTGCAGTATTTGAGGTAATGTTCCGTTCTGTGACAAACCACACAGATGTTCCCTATATTTTAATTATTAAAATAAACGCAAGGAAGTCGTGGGAGAGCCATGCTTCGGCACATGTGTCAATAAAGTTCTTCGTTTCTTTAAATCTCCTTTTTAAGGAGATACCTATTTCCAGCAGTGGACTATTAAAGGCTGTTGATGATGATGAAGGTTACCAGAGCCCTAATATCATAGATCAATAGAGCCATAAGTAAAGTAATCTTTATTATTTTGATTGAGTGGATAAAGCTGTTGTAGGTACGTAATATTATAGTAAATCAGCCCAATTTGGATATACATTAATTTAAAAATTTGAACATATATATCTATACATTTTTAGACACTAAAAATGTATTAACAGTGTAGAAGCATTTTTAAATATAGGCGAGAGCAAGGGTAAGGAATACCGCAGGTTTCGAATAGGTAAACGGTACCCAGATGTCCATCCTGTACTTGGAGACACTTAGACACTTAGGGCCCTGGCCCTTATCTGCTCCGATCCGGGTGCTAATAGTTGTTCCCGAATACCTACTATTTCAGGAGGAGGTGTTCGTGGGTTCGATTTCGACACACCGCTTCACCACAAAACCCCTGTGTGGTCACGGTTATTACCTATTTAACCTAGTAAAACAGGAAAATATCATAAAGTCCGTATTTATTGCTAGATAACACTCATATCTAATCAGTCTTGTTAGATAGTTTCATTTTTCTATTTCCTTAACATAAATATTGATATACAAGTCTGTGCACGTATCAGTCTTTTTTGCGACCAAAAAGGAGTCCATTATAATTGCAAAACCTCCTACGGATCAAATCAATGTTACCAGAGCAAAATATTTCGAAAACCTTGACAGACTCAGGTAGAGAATTTCACATAGTTCGGATAAAAAAAGTCGACATTTCTAAGAATTCCGGCCTTTTAGAACAGCCTTTTTGTCGTTTCTTCATGGGTACCTATTCATTTACAAACTTTGTTTGTAATATGAACTTTAGCCTTGGAAAATAGAGTACAAAACGTCTTGTTAAGTAGGCTAGAATGTGAGGTGGTAAGTAACCCGTGGTTCTTCGTTGTGTGATGTAATCATCGGTAAGTTATTTGGTTAATAATCATACACATCCGTGTTGGGCCTATAATATAAGGTAAAGTATCTAAAAATCCTATGGTAAGTAGTAAGTAAAATATAACATACTTAGGTATGTATGGTATGGTAGGTATGTACAAACTATTGTTACGGTGAGTTTGGGCTTAAGATAGGGTTAGTTAGAATAGTGATATTATAATAACAAGAAAAGCAGGATTGAAATTGACTTGTTGTACATTAATAACAATTTCAACAGAGTGCTGTTTAAAGTTTTAAAAAAAGTTTAGTGACATCTATCGGTCTTAAACTTAAGTCGACAGTTGATAAAACAGTCCAAGAGAAAGTGGCGCCCTCCTACTGTTTTACCGACGTTATGAATCTATTTGTCATGGCGTAAAGAAGTGTACATTCTGTGCACAGTAAAACATAAATAATGATTCCCAGACGATTTAGTTTACGTTTTTATGTTAAAAACTATTGTTTAAAACAAAAAGTATCATGATTAACGTGTGTTAGTTATATTTAGACGTAAGTGTGAGTTAAAATGGACAAGAAAAATGCCATTCGGAGAGCCAAGAGGCCGTCTAAAGTGCTTGAAGAAAATTATTGGGATTGCAGCGTATGTACCTATAGGAACAATGCAGAAGCCTTCAAATGTTCGATGTGCGATGTCAGGAAAGGTAATACAATCCGTTGTTTTCATTGTATGTTCTTTTTTGTATGATTACCTAGTGTGAATGACCTAGTAGGTAATTTAGTATACATACGTAGCCACGTAGTTGCATCTGTTTATACAGTGTAATTATAGTGGTTTTAGTACTCCACTGTATTAAGGTGTACAGATATCTATATAATATGCCCGTTACTTTATGAATAGTGCTCTGTTGTAAACCTAACCTCAAATGAGTTAACAATCTCAAACTTGTAGGTATTGATTAAAACTCACAAGCGCGCGTCCTTGCCAATGTTTTGGCTACGCCAATATCGTGTTTGCTAGCTGTTTTACTTTTATATACATATTTAACTTAACTAAACTAATGATATAATATTCAATTAACATATTGAATAAATCTTATTAGATTACTTACATTATTATTAGGTGTATGTATCTACTTCTTTTCGAAGCACTAAACGTAGTAGGTAGGTTCCTTTTATAATAAGCTTGTAATACATATTTTATGAAAAGCCTTTCATTTAGGTTTTTATGATTACAGAAATCATATTTTTATACCTATCTTTATACGCAATTTATATCCTATTAATCAAAGAGCATTTAAAAACAGTTGGTATTCTCGAAATATACCTACCTGGAGAAAAAGTACTATAAACACTAAAGATAGCAAGTTTTAATATTAGGAAAATTCCTTTATTTTAAAAAAGTAAGCGAAACTGTGGTTGTATTAAATCTATAGAAAACATAGTTAATTAAAGGGAAATCGTGGAACATAAACTCATTTTAATAGAACGAACGTAAAAGCAGTTAATTATAATAATTTAGTTGCTTGGAATGAACTCCATTTTCTGAGATCTAACATTTTAACTCTTACGCAGAGTAAATGGCACTCATTTTAAATGCTCTTTAGAGTAACTTCAGTAAAACAAACAATCTTGTCTATGATTAACAATTTATGTAAACAAATCTGTGCATTCCAACTTTAAACGCCATAAAAACTGCCGTTCAGTCGTGTAAGCCGGCCGGAATGAAACTACAACAGTCACGCTGAGTTTGAGACAACTTTTCCTACTACTGTATTTATTTGGATAATGTTCGTTGACCTTTCTGATGTAAATACTTCTACTCGTTGAAGGGCATATACATAGGTAAGTAGATATTTGAAATAGAGAGAGAGAGAGATAGGAGGGTGGCGAGGGCGGGGGGAAACAGTTAACATTGCAATTTTTGCCCTGCAGGAACGAGGTTCGTTTTAACGCATGCATAAATCTCTTTTTACCCGCAATTTTAGTATGGTACATAGAAATTTTAGAAAAAAGTCAAAGATTCATTGATTTCATTAAAAAAATAAAACATCGAATCCGAACCGCTAGCGCCGCGCACACGGCGTTCGATCAGGCATCATGACATTACATCAACCTTCGCTATATTGTAAGCATCTAATAAGATTTAAACCTAGTGCCATCTACCAAGCCGTTTCCAGAAAACGTGCTGTTCTGAGAAGTCCGAAACATTCTACCAGAGGGACCATTGCCGAGGATACTCAAATTCATAACATCTTTATTCAAAACATCATCATATGACACTATTCCTTTTATGACTCCATCATTAGAGCGGCCCCAAGATGCTGAAATACATATGCATACAAAGATAAGTTCCATAAGGTATGAGGTAGGTTAAATTGACCTTCAAAATTTGTTACAAGTGAAGCAAATAAAACCGTGTTAAAAATAGCGCCAAGACGAACTCGTTAAATCTAAATTCAAATACAAAGTCAAATATTCAAATATAAAGTGCAAATAAATATGAAGTTCAGAGATGATATATTATATTATATCTACAATCAATACTACCTTCAAATACCTTTTATAATTCTATACATACTATGCAGTTTGCTCCATAATAAGAGTTTAATGAACTGACCGCTCAAAATTTAACATATTTGTAGTCTCTGCTTTGGTTTTTCAAGAGTCGAATATTTAGTGTTAGTCTTTGATCAGAGACGATACCATTTTTCTATATTGAGACGGACTGAGTGTAAACAGCTTCGCTCTAACCATAGAGCAACACAGGCCAAACACTAACACATCGAACTTTTTGGGAACTAGCTTGCGAATTATTATGTTCTGAATTACATAGTCCTCAGAGTCTATATGTATCTGTTGAATGATTGAGCCGCCTCCACGAACTGTTAGATGCTTAAAGCTATACTGCAATAAAATATTCCTGATTTGCATAATGCCTGATTAAATATACTCAATTATTTTCTAAATTCGCTGTCCAAATGATAATAGTAGTCTCACTGTTCCTAAACCTTTGTTTGTTTTCAGCAGTCTAGTAAAATAATATTTTGCCCTTCGGTGCGACCACCAAACAACTGTAGTATAGAAGCGGTGTTGAGAAGTTTTATAGAATAGAATAAAATATTATTTAAAAAATAAATTAAATAACAACATACACAAAGAAACTAAAAATCAAGTAAGGTTTGATTACAGGCAACATTTTTCAATGTGTCAATCTTTCATATCTGACAGAATTATCTATACTACTCGTGTTTTTACTAGTGCTCGACTTTCCAATCTATCAGTAAGCATAATCTATTCTTAGGTTTTATAAGATCGATTACATGCCAGTTTACTACTCGCCGCCTTACCTGCGTAAAAAAATCTTAGGTTACCAAGGATTCGTATGTTTCTGATGGAATGAAATATATAAGTAATATCTAATATATTTTTTTACAACGCTCAGTACCTTATAATAACAACTTCACTTACGAAAATAAATACGATGAGTTCACTGATCTATTTTCGGAGGGGCCTATAGACCAGAGGTGATCGCGCGAAACAGTTGATCGACTCGGTTATACAATACAATGGTCATGACCTTAAATGGGTTACTAAAATATGGGTCATCCCATTGCACTTGTAAATATATTACCGATTTCTGTTGACTGGGGTGGAAAATCCCTTCAGATCTCTGGCTTCCAAAAACCATCCCGGCAGCCGGTCTTAGGCGCCCTATTCTGGACCCGGACCATATTCTTTTAGGTACCCCACAGAAATATGTTAGGACCTTACAACAAATGTCTTTCGATCGTATTGTAAGTCTGTCATAACAAAAGACCTAATGGAAATCGGATGTTTAGAAACAAAGAAAATTGTGCTATTTGTCCTTATGACGCCACTTTCGACACATTTCGCCATTTTCGTCGCAGCTGGTCAAGTAGGTCGGCTAAAAATACCTTCGGTGTAATGCTATCACAGGTATAAATACACATATTTTTCTATGTCCGAGTTTTAAGTGTCTAAAACACGTTTTCTACTATCGGTGGAAACTACACGTTGGATTCGGCGATAGGTATATACGCGACGTATCTTTAAATTACTGAAATTTTATAGCCCGTTGCCACCTTTCGCTAAACCTTTGAGGCAAATGTTAAGTTACACGATTACATTAACGTAAATTATTGCAATTGACTGCGATGGTACACTTGCCTTGATTAGGGTCTGACCGCCCTGCTCTGCTGCGTTAGATCAGAAGAAATTGTACATCAGAATATATTTTTCGACAGTGGTGTACATAATTATTGTGTTGTTTGTGTTGAGGTAAATTTTATCAAACTGGACAATCTAAGTTTTATTATTCTTCGCAAATAGTGTTTTTGTCTGCAATTCTGCACGCAAGTTATTTTTTTTTATTAGGACATCATGTATTTACCACTTGTAAGTTGAACGTATGAATAATAAATAGTTACTTTCAAAGTTTTCGCATAACGGTTTGTTCTTTAAATAATATATAGTAAAACAAATTCGCGTCTTTTTGCATAAGATATCCAGTAACTCTTTATAAACTACGAGTACGTAGTGGTAGTATGTATGTTTAGAATAAAACCTAATCGGATTTTTATTCAAATACAAAATAAAACAATATTTTGCAAGCGACTCGTAGAAAAACAATCGTGGCTTACGATGACTAAACCTGAAAAGAGTAAAGACATGAAGTACTTACCCTTACAAGTGCAAAGTCGGGGCGCGTCGCTAGTCCTACAAATATGACGTCATGATACTTGTAATACCGATCGCATAAGCCTTCAACATTGCTATAAACATGGAAACGTCCTTTCGCATTCGGCGCTCTCGTGCCCAACCTCAAGGCTTTCGCCCTGCGGTGGGAACAGTGGCCTCTAATGTACGAACTGTGTTCCTCGCAATATACTAAACAATTTAGGGTACGATTTTTAAAGTATGGTTTTAGTTTTGATATTATGTAGGTAGTTTGAAGTGTTTTCTATTCACATGTACGTGATTTACGTTTTTTTTTAATTTACATTTTTTTTAATATTGATGAAGGCTGAATAAATAACTGAAAAACTTTATTTTAATTGGTATTGATTTATTTCAACAATATATAATAATACATCACAAGACTTACATACATCTGATTCTATTCCTAAATAAACTATTATCAATAAAATAAAAATCTCAACATTTAAAACTAGTCTTGAACCTAAGTAGGTACTAAACCAATAAAACCGTCTTCTTTTTGAAGTCAAGGTCAAGGTTTTAGGTTTTATTGGTTTGTTGTTGGGGTATGTTCCACGATATTATTATGTGGTTTGAACATATTGTGAACCGCTTTTGATTCTCTTGCACGCCGATTTTAAAGGGGTCGAACTGGCTGTTGGCACAGGACAGGTTTTTGTTGCAAAACTTGAAGGAGGGCTATGTCCAGCAGTAGACGTCTTTCGGCTGAGAAGAACTGACTGTTGCCGCTTTTCTAATGCTAGTTAAAATACCAATACATTGTACTTATAATACGGGGATAGTAAAGGATCTTGTAAACTCAATTTAACTTATTGTCTTGTATATCTTAACTTTCCATCTCTGTTTTTAGATAAAAAACAATATTTTGCAAGCGAGTTTTTTGTAAAATGCCCCGCGACACAGGATATATTCCTGGTGCGGAAGTTGTCTTTAAAGAAAAAATGGACAAAATATAATATTTTTGGACATTTATAACACACAACGCCATCTAGTTTTTCGAACTAAGCAGAGCTAGATTGACTGCTAGAATATCTATATATTTTATTTTTGTAAATACATATATGTATGTAACATACATAGAAAACACCCAAACTCTGAAACAAATATTTGCATATCATACATAAATTTGGTCCGACCCGGGAGTCGAACCCGAGACCTCAGCACAGCAGTCACATACGCTTTCACTGTACCACCAAGGCAGTGGAGTAAAAGTGTATTGCATAGTCTGAGCCCTGAGGCGGTTTGATCGACATCGAAATGTACTCTAGTACCCTCGAGCATTAGGCTCTACAATACCATCCTTGTGTTTAGAAAGTTTACTGAAACGACAAGGCTTTTATTTCTAAAATATTTTACAGCATTTAAAGTATAGCAGACGGCTTTCTTTATAAATATGTGGACGAATAATAACAGTAATAAATAATACATCCCATGTCTGCCCTGGAATATTTCTGTGTTCTAACTCTGATATCCTGACCGTGTGGTGACGGATTAAGAATACCGAGTGTCACCACCCCTATTCATCCCGTGGGTGTCGTAAGAGGCGACTAAGGGAGCAAACTACGCAGGACAACAGCACTGCAGAGAGAAGGAAAACTTGACACAAACTCTATACCAACCCGTCTGGCCAGCGTGGTGTAGTAGGCCAAAACCTCCTTTCTAAGGAGAGGCCTATGTCCAGCAGTGGACTAGTAAAGGCTGTTGATACTCTGATATCCTAAGAGTCTAGATCTTAGATCTAATGTCGTTCAAAGATGCCATTTCCCACATTTGAAATATTCTACATATTATTATGTGAGAAGCATATATTATTGAGAAGAAAAAACGCTTTGTACCTGTGTAAACAAGTATGGCGCATCGGAAGCAGTATCATGTTTGGAGCACTTAAAACAGTGTAAATTACATTAAACATGACATCTAAACCCACTGTATACGTAATAGTCCACTGTTAGACATAGGCAGAGACCTAAGGAGAGTCTTAGAAAGGAGGTTTTGGCCTACTGTAACCAACGCTGGCCAGACGGTTTGGTAAAGGGTTTGTGTATTAGTGTGTAGTTTTCCTTCTTTTGACAGTGCTGTAGTTTGCTCCCTCAGTCGGCTCTTACGACACCCACGGTATGAAATCTACCACGGTCGAAATTTAGCGATGTCTAAAATAACCATATAGTCCACAATCATTATGAAACCTAAGACCTGTGTAACTTTAAATATACTTAACGCGGATTTGCCATGATTAATTTGGATTGAATTTACTATGTACAATGTATTACATACTGTAATCTGGTTAAATTAACATACAATTTAGCTTAGATCCACCCATTATATACTTACTCGTATTTTCAGAGCACGTCTCTGCTCTAAAGATACTTGGTAAAAATCTGTAGGTCAACATTTTTACAGTCTGCCGAAATAATAATGTCGCCATGTTTTGTATTAGTTCGTATATGTTTGTACGTGTACCCTAACTTCTAAATAACTTAACAGATCCGGTAGTATGAGATTTTGTAAGAACATTACTCACAAAGCTGACTACAACTTCAGCAATACGGAAGTTGTATGCTGCGTAATTCGCTTATATTTGTAACAGGTTTTTTTTTAAATTAGTGTCCTGTCCTCAATGATATATAAATAAATACTTACCTCCTAGGTACGTCGACGCGGAAGCCTCGTATCAATCCAGCATTGGTTGCGGCACAAGCAGCTGGCACAGCACCCACCAGCTCACAGAAGCGACCACGATCAGCCAACTCCCTTAAGAAGAAACGACGGCATCCGCCAAGACTTAGCAATGTCGACCGAAGCTCAGCGCAGACTAGGGAGGTAATAAATTGAAATTATTTTTAGTTATATTTTGTAATTGTATTAGTTTTTGCCTAACGTAAAAACTGTATGCAAGTTTAGTCTAACTATGCCAATTGCTTTTAAATAGCTTAACTAGGCAAGTTGTTGATGAGGTATGTTTGCTGTACATGGGGATTTGGAAGCAATGGAAATGCATTCTTTCTTTAGCAGAAAGGTATACAAAATCTTACTAACAAACAGCTTCTATCGCGATTGCACAGTCCAACATAGTTTAGCAAAACTATTAAATTATATTTTCTTTGTTTTACTCACGTATATCTATACAACATTTCGTTCTGCCGCTGCAAGCTCTCCTTCAGTCCATGATAATGGGCAGTGCCGAAAGCTAAAATGTTTAATGTAGCAGTTTTCGCATAATTTACAAACTGTTACACATAGATTGTTAAAAATATAGGGTTCCAGTATATATTTGGACCTGTCATGGTGCAAAAGTCTGTATGATGACAGTGAAAACCCTTTTAAAAAAAAAGTTGAACCGACTTCAAACACACCGACAAAGAGCACTAAAAATTAAAAAATAATTACAAATCTAAGTAAAAAACTATAATAAGTACCCTCAATGTAACAGGTAACATTATAATACCAATAGTCCCTTCTAGTCTGTTTGAAGTCGGTGCCAAGCCAAATAGGTGCTTGATAGGCATGGTAGAATGTAGCGCGGCAGCTGCAACAGTCTTTAAAAGGGTTTATTTTACCATTTTTAGTGTAGGATATGTTTGTAATGAGTAGATAAGTACGATATTTAAAACACTACGTACCGTAATGTATAGTAACAAACTGTAGTTACCTAACTGGAATTGGGGGTGATGATGTAAGGTGTGATACTCAAATTTTAAATGAAGTACAAGTAGGTGAAATAACTCAGACCTTACTCTTTCATGTAGTACTGGATTCTTGCCTATCAGAACCTGTCATCTTAGAAAATGACATTGGCGTCCAAACTGATCAAGATCAGCTTAAATTCTTTTCTAAGAAACAGTCAAATTCTTGTGAGTTGCAACCGAACAAAATAACTTCCGATTCAATTGACACGGATCTCGAAGGTGAAGATAGGGAAGCTTTGGTAAGACTACTCAACAAATATGCTCAATATTTTATACAAGGAGTTTCAACCAGAAGGGTTAATACTGGTATATTAGAAATTAACCTAGTTGACCCACACAAAATTTAAGAGTTTTTTCCAGAACTATTTTAATAAATTAAGTATAAAATTACTTACAAACGAAATGCGATGCCATCCATAGCAACAAAACGTCTATCCGAATTATTTTAAATAAATAGAATACAAAATTTCAACCTTTTCTTCTTAATACTACGAAAATTACTGTGGTGACATAAATACTGCAAGTTCTCTGTGCATCACATCGCGCAGTCTCTGACGGTTGCCATGGTTTGTTTGGCTAAAGAAATACTCGTAGCTAAAACACGTTGTCGAGGCTGTCAAATTCCCAATAATTGTGAGGGTTTCACTCGATTTCTCATTCATCTCGTAATATAAATTTTAGAAATATAAAAATAAAAGCATTGTTTGACATTTCAACATGACAGTTGTTGATAAATAACTTGAACGTTCCGTTGTAGCCTATAGCCAGTCATTTTTATTTTAATATTTATTATATTTAATTTTGGACGAACAACTAGCTTGTTTAATATTTTAACATAGCTACACTAGCTATATACTATATACAAATTCACAGAAATTATGTTTGTAAAAGAAAATTATTTTTAAATAATTAGCTGCGTAATACGGCATAATAATGTCAATCGTGCGGAAACGTAATCGAGAACAAACTAATTTCAATACTTGAAACTAGTTTCAAATAAGTAAAACTAAAAACGCGGGTTGTAATAAGATCGATACTTAAGTTTTGATCTGCACTTAAAACTAGTTTCAGGCAATCAGAGTTCAACTGATACTTGAGACGTCTTTTAAAATACGGGCCTTAGAGGAACAACGCTGAGGCGAGCTATGAAGGAGAGCGGAGTCCCCCTCCTCGTGTATTGTAAACGACCACTGAACTAACACCACTGGGGTGTCGTTACAATTTTTTTTCTTGGTAACGACGATACTCCTGACTAGTAATGTTCAACGTTAAATAAAACAATTTGTTGTGTTAATTTTTAGTGATAATTTTGAAATTGATAAAGGATTCATAAAAATATTTTATTTCTATCGATTACGATAAGAAAATAACTAAAATTAATTTATTACTTAATCCAATATGGTTCACTTCATCTGCTATCTTTTAAACAACTTCTGGAAATTTCAGAATAATATTCCCACATTAATTAAAAATAAAGTTTAAATGTATATAATAAAGTAGCTGTACCCTGCTTCGCTATGGCACATTGATGAGAAACGAGGAACAAAATTGAAGCGACAATAGGTAAAAACAATCTTTGACATGTGTAGTTCTTGATTTTTAAAACCGTACACAAACCCCTCCTCTCTTCCTGACTATTCGTCCCACATGGTCGTGGGGTCAGCCCTCTTCGTGTACTTCTTCCACTTCGCCCTGTCCTTGACGTCGTCCTCCGAAACATTGCATGTCTTCATGTCTCTCAGTAACACATCTGTCCATGCGGTCTTGAGTCTTCCTCAAGAGCGTGCTCCGGGAACGGACAGTTCTAGTGCCTGGTTACCATTGGAATCAGGTAGTCTCCTCCTGACATGTTCATACCACCTCATCCTATTCTCTAGCATCGTAACCGTAACCGTACACAAACCAACATAACATTTTATATACATAGATAAAATGAGAAAATTTGAAGAACAATCAAGTCTAAATTATATATAACACACGTGACCTGACTTTTAGTCGTAACTTCCGTAATATCAGTCGTAAAATGAGCCTTTACTAGCACATCTAAGGGAACTGCTATCATCTGAAAGCTTCGCAGGCTAATAGATGAGTGCACAAATTGGTATTAGTTTCCTGGACAGCGCTGCTTATCTCTGTTATTAGTCCTTAATAGTTGTGTTAAATTGATTAGATGGTAACCTAAGGTTATGTTATGTTCATACGGAATCAAATTTAACTTATGGAGAATAATTAATTTTACGAGAAATATTACCGACTTTAATTCATTTTCATCATGATGAATTATATTAACTGTAATCTTCATTCCTTAACTTCCACTCTTAGGGTTGGAATTTTCTTCAAATTTGCATAGGAAGAAGTGGGAAGTGTAACCTCCGTAATGAAAAAGACATTTCCATATCGGTTCATAAAAACAGCCTTTGGACTGACACAACAGACAGTCTAACAATGAATTGCACGACTGACGATTGACGTCCCTCGGGTTTGCAGGCACTCTATAGTCAGGCTAACGAGAAATCCTCTGTAACATTAACAGCAGCGACTTTAGCATTACGATATTATTGCCTCAGCCGCTTTGCTGCATTCTTTAAAGTCCCTGTTGCTCTTGCTATTCCTCTTATAGTACCCTATGCTACATGCATTGTAGCCGAATTCCACACACGTTGTTACATTAATATAAATGATAGTTTATTTACATCTTGATTCGCTACATTAGTCTGAATTCAAGACCAAAAAAAATATAACTGTAGACGAAAATACAACATGACAATATGAGTATAAAGATGCTCATATTTGTACTATTATATTGTTTCTTTTTTAAATATTATCTATTTAGGGGGTGCATATCTCTAAGTTGCCCTTCTTTTAAATTTATGCACACTGACAATCTATTAAGAAAAGGTGTCTTATGTGATATTCATCCTTCATTCCAAATTCCTTGTGACATTATGAGATCTTTGCCAAGTTTGATCTTTACCCGGCTCTTTAGCCGGATATCCGGCTATCAGGCATTAAGGTATTCGTTTAATATAAAGTTGCCAAGAGAGTAACTGTATTATACATGATATAATGCCGTTAGGCTAATAATATATTAACCATTTAAACAGCAAAATTATCAGCAGCCGAACCGTAACAATTGTAGCCTAGCCTTAACTAAACCTATTATATAATATAACGCATTGTCCCCAGGTAACTGTAAGTGGAGTAACTGTTGTTATAACTGAATACAAGCCGAAGAAATCCGTGTCAAGCAGTTCTAGTGACGTGGAGTCTTCGAATGACGCAAGACCATGATCTCGTGTAACATATGCTGCATCAACGTCAGATGCCGTGCCGTAAGCTGCTGAACTTTATAATATCCGTTAGCATAATGTCTTATGTATCAGACTGAAAAAAAAACTGTTAAGAAGCTAGAAAAAAAACAAACTAAAAACATTGGTTATAAGGTTAATTTTAGGATAGCAAATGATATCGACTGAGAACAGATATACGTTAGCTATAATCGGGATATCTATTTTATAGCAAAATGAAATGAATATCTACTTCATTTATTTTTAAAGTTAATCTTGTATATAGGTTTCAATAGCAAAGGACTAAACTACGAACTATTCTTTAAGAGTATTATACTACTTATATTATTTAAAAAAGAGATATTTAGTAGTATCTTGAACAGTCTAGATCCATAGATTTTGTAAAGGCATTTGACACGTTGAACCATGTAACTAACTGACTTGTCAATGGATCTGTGAAACGTGAGTGTTAATGTTTTGTTATTTCAAATTTTACTATTTTGTATTTTCTTTTTCTATTTCAACTATTTATAAAATATATTTCCTTTGTAAAATATATTCTTAATTCGTAAGTGATAAATGTAGTTTTGAAAGCGAAAATATATAATAGTTAAGACTTGTACGACACGTTGTTGTCAGTAGTAGTTTAATATTTAGCAAGTAATTGTAGAAAATGTTCAGAGAATTACTGAGTAAAACCGGTATAAATCGTGGTCGAAAAATATTCCAGAAATTTTTTTAAACAGTACTTCAAAACCTTTTTTATTTTCATCTCACTTAAGATCAAAATACTAGTTTTGTTGTTCAAGATGTGAGTGTAGTTGATCTAAAGTGTCTGCATAAAGGAATTGGCAGGACATCGCTTCAATACAACTTAGATTTACTTTTTACTATTCATTATCTTGAATAATAATTTCTTTTAGGGAAAGCTCTTTTTCGGTTTCGTATCAAAACGAAGAATTAGAACAACGAAATTCATGATCCAGAGGATCGATTGAGTTTGCTTGTGCTTCATTTCATCTTCTTGATTGTAACTTCAGAATTTTGATATGAAACCTGGAACTAAAAATTGAATTTGAATTTGAATGAAATTTTTTAAAGGTATAGTGTAAATAAATTGAGAGACCAGCTGGTCACTGCCAAAAAATTGAACTGTATATAGTAATTGATGAAAAGGCGGTTTAAGGAGTTTAGTATTTTCAAATTTGTTTTTGGAGCCATTACATGGGCTCGATGCTTCATGATGACAAAGCTGCGCGATTGTGTGGGTAAAAAGTAGAAGTGGCAGGTGTCTCTGGCGAAGAGCGCGTAACAAATCCACCATTGCTAAAAATAAATAAGGACAAAACTTCATCTGGATAAATTCGCGATTTCTGATTTTTTCTGAAAGTCTTTTATAGTCGAATATTTAGGCTTTTCATAAAACCTTCAGCATGGGGTCACCATTATATTTTTAGGGCGTTGGATTCATCCTTAATTTATGGCACAGGTAATGGCAATTATTAAAGAAATGTGTATATTTTTAACAAAAATTGAAGTAGGAGGATCAAAATTCGACTGAATATTTTATCTTGTTTTTTAAAATTTAATATTTCAAATATGGTGCCTTTACCATATCATCTCTGTAATAGAACAGCTAACGAGTCGAAATAGTCTTCGAGCTTAAGCATTTTTGATAGCAAAGCGCAATATTTATATACTAACTCTCAAACTTATATATCGACTAGTGATGTAACGAATGTTCGCACTCGCATTCGCGAAAAGTTGCACATTTTTTTGCCATTCGCATTCGTATTCGCAAGAAACAAAGCGAAAGTTTGGCGAATGTATGTGACTAACAAAAAGGAAATTATAACCATATGAACTGGATGGATCTGGGAAGATAATACAACTGTTATGATTTATAGTTTTTTATTTTTCTTATAAGAGTAATTTCAGTGTCACAAATTGTAAAATAAGTCCAAACTTCGGTAAAACGGGCTTTACTCATGTTTTTATATCACTTACTGAAATTTACACTTTCTTAAATCTGGCAAGTAGTCAAATACTAAACTATTCTTAAATCAGAACAAGTCTCAGAAAAAACCTAATGTGACTATGTAAGTTCGTTCATTCAACCAGTCAGTGTCTCGTCTACTGGCCACTCGATGACATTTTGCGCGCGCTTTATTTGAAAATCATCATTTACGATTATTCGATTTGATATTTATATTAGATACATTCGTTACATCACTAATATCGACTTTTCGTGAGCTATTGAATATTTACATTGTCCGATAAGCATTCCATCTGTTAAACTAATACTTGGCAGATTCCTGCTAATAAAAATAAAAGATATTTCTGCCACGGGGCTGCGTTGGTAGGCTCCACAAAAGGATCTTCCTCCAGCAGAAATCTAGGCGATTTCTATAGCTGTAATGGCGAAATTGATGACTGACTTCAGGATGTGGTCTTGCCCGAGCAATAAAAAAACAGCTTTTGACGATATGAACATCTAAACGAACTACTACTTCATGCTATGGTTAATCATTAATTAAAAACACCAAAATAGTTTCGTTGTTGGCTAATATCGTTATCGGACAATTGTTTAATGTGTAAAGTGCAGTAAATGGGCCGTGTGGTGACGGATTAAGAGTACAGTGTCACCACCCCTATTCATCCCGCGGGTGTCGTAAGAGCCTACTAAGGGAGACAAAGAACAACAGCACTGCTGAGGGAAGGAAACTAGACACATGAGGCGCAGGAAAGCGCGCCTCCGCCGCCCGGTTCGCCGGCGGCGGATCGGGTCCGCGTGGAGGGCGTCCTCCCGGGCCTTCTCCGCCGCCTCCTTCTGCGAGATTACTTCCTCGCAGAAGGTTGCGACCGCGGTAAAACAACTGTCGCTACCGGCCATGGAGCGTACTACGGCCGGTAGCGAGAGATCCACTTCGATGACTGCAGTGAGGGCCCGGCGATGCGTCGCCCATGCGGGGCAGACCGCCAGCGTGTGCTGGGCCGAGTCCTCACTGCAGTCGCAGTGGTGGCAGGCGGGACTCAGTTCTGTCCTAGCGACCTAGTGCAGGTACTTTCCGAAGCAACCGTGCCCGGAAAGCACCTGCGTGAGCCGGAAGGTAAGGGTCCCGTGCTGCCGCCCTGCCCACTCGGCGATGACCGGCTGGAGAGCCTCCACGGCGGCGAATCCAGCGCGTCGAGTCTCCAGCCGGAACGACCAACGAGCCATCGTGGCTCGGCTTCGCGCCACTCGCGCACGTCTTCGGGCGGAGGGCGAAATCCGCTCTCCGCCCGGGAGTCAGCCACTCGCCGATAAACTTCGGCGAGCACTTCCGCCTCCAAATCCCACGGGGGAGTTCCTGCCAACGCGCAAGCCACCTCCGTCGAAAACTTGACACAAACCCTATACCAACCCGTCTGGCCAGCGTGGTATAGTAGGCCAAAACCTCCTTTCTAAGGATAGGCTTATGTTCAGCAGTGGACTATTAAAGGCTGTTGATAATGATGAGATGATGAAAAGTGCTTTGAAATGTCGTTATGACGAAATAAGAGAGCTATATACAAGTTCCTTGTTTATTTAAATATTTATTAAAATCCTACATTAATGACATGCCCAAACACGAATTATCACATTATCGAACGTATTTGGTCAGTTTTAGTTGTCCTAAATTATGAAATACAAAACATTTCATCCAATGGTCGAGTACATCACAAATTTATATGATCCGACCACGTCACATCGATGACGCTTTACTCAGCCAGCTGTTAGTCTAGCGTACAGGCTTGAAATCCAATTGACAAAACAGTAACTCCAAAGGATGGTTCGGAACAACTGCACTTAACAATGTAATGAGGCAGTTGTCGTTTAAGCGTTACGTTGTAGCAATGATGGTAATGTGACAACATTACACTACGGGCAATTGGCATCGGAATGTTTGCAGATAGGAAATAAAAGTAATTTGAAGCTTATGGCAATGTGATCCCGAGGAATTTAAGTAGAACGTGATAATAGATGTGTACTCTATTAGTTTCTGGTTTTGTTGCTACCTACTAATAAGATTTATAATAACTGCTATTTGTAAAAAAGAATTCTTGTTTTAATTTAATTTTTACATAGGTACACATGTAAATGTTACGTAGACGGCCCGAGGTACGTCGGGGTACCAGGGATTTACTTTCTAGGGTATATCTGGTTCCCCGGCTACTAGAACCCGAGACTGCGTGCGGTTTTTAGTCGGTTCGAGTCCGACATAGGCACTGGTGGGTGGTATCCGAGGGGATTTCTGCACAGAAAAAAAAAGATACGCATGTAACTAGATATTATTATATGAGATAATCAACATCATCCTCCACATCTCAGCCGAAAGACTCTGACTCCACTGTGTGACATAGGCCTCCCCAAAGGTTCGCCACAACAACCGTTCCTGCTGCCCGCATCCAACGGCTTCCCGCGAACTGCACCAAGTCGTTGGACCATCTTGTGGGGGGGGGGGGGGGGAGGGGGCCTACCCATGCCGCGTTTTTCGTTTTCAATTGTTATAAGTTTAACGATCGTATCTGTATCCAATAACAGCCGTCAGAGTAAAAAAACATGCCATTTTCGGTTTTATGCGCAGTTGGATAAACAGCAGAATAAGGACTCATCGGTCTGCATACAAAACAGGCTAAAGCCTCTTTTCCTATACTATGTGGCGGTACATAAAATAAAATTACTGTGAGTGTTTATTTAGTATTCCGACTTGCGTGCCTAAATAAACACTAATAAAAAAATCCTTTTATTTTGAAAATTTTTAATCATCGGTAAGTCGTGAAAATTATGTCTATGTTTTTATATGTGCGTTTATATCTACTGGTATATATTATATGATTTTTACACTTCGAGACTACATTCCATAATACCATAGGTCTATCTATCCGTTTTTGGATGCATTTCGGATTTTGACATGTTTTTTTTAAAGCTATTTTCAAGTGTTATAAGTTAAACGATTGCATCTGTATCCAGCTACAGCCTTC